ATCACCCGTGTGAAGCCGGGGTGGTTCGCTAGTTACATATAAAAAGTTACATTTTTAATAAGTACATAAAAGCTGACTTTTAATAACTTAAAAAAATTTTAATAATACTTTTTTTTAATTATTATTATTAATAAACTAAACAAACTTGAGCGTATTCAAAATCTAGCTGTTAGGTTCATATTTGGTTTGCGCAAATATGACCATGTCTCCGAATTTCGTTTAAAGCTCAAGTGGTTACCCATTCGCCTTCGTCGGAATCTACAAATTGTTTCTCTTCTGTGCTGTGTATTATTCAATTCTCAATTCCAATGACTCCTAGCTATCTGAAGGAAAACTTTAAGTTTCTTGGTCATGACATACCGGATAGAGTTATACGGTCAGCTGGAAAACTTATACTCACGCCACATTCTTATAGAATTAAATACTTTAAGAATTCCTTCACAGTAAACGCCATCTGCTTATAAAATGATCTTCCTCCGCAAATTCGTCGTGCGAAAACACTAGATAAGTTTAAAACTGACGTCAAAAATCACTAACCTAACCTAACCTAACAGTGCAATATCCACTGGTCATCATTTGCGACATTTATTTTTTATATCCTGTCTGTATTTATTTCTGTAAATTTTATGTATATTAGCCTATTTAATCCTATGTATGTATATCATATTTTAATGTATATATTAGTGTATTAAATATTTGTATTGTGTATTAGTTTAGTTTATTTAGGTATTAGTATGTAAGTTTACTATAATATACACCGCCTCACACTGTCCAATAGTACAATTTTCTCCTAATCTTAAGGTTGTCTGGAAGAGATCGCTTTTTAGCGATAAAACTGCCTTATTGTACCTACCTCTTAAGTTTTTCTCTGTAAACTCTCTTTACTTTGTAATTTGTTTTTTTTTTCTATCGTTTTGTGATGTAAAATCAAGTATATACGTAATAATTTTCACATATTAGCTTCAAAAGTCGGTGATAAAACATCGTAGGTATATATGTATACATAACATAAAATATTAAAGCATTATATTATTACTTTTCTAAGATCTAATAAAATAAAAACAGAAATTTATTAGAGAACACAAAACACTCATACTCATTATTTTATTAATTCATAATGTGTATTGAGCCAGTCATTTTTTATTAAAAAAAAAACTAACTTACTTCACTTACTATACAAAATATTTTCATACAATATCTTATTATTTTTAAGTTACATGACAAATGGGTTGAAAATAGCCTATTAGTAACCGCGAAATCCTATAAATGGCGCCACCACTGTACCCATTGTGAGCGGTGGCGTGGTCAGACCGGGCTCGCGGCCTGAGCTCAAGGGCTCACATTAGCCCGCCGTATTTCACGAGCCGCCCGCCGAGGTGAGAACATAATAAGCGGTTCGAGACCATTTTTAATATTCCAGCTTCATTACGACGTATTACAAACGTCTTGGGTGGCGAATTCTATCGCGGACTCTCTTAATACTACGTTATTAAAGCCGAGAGGGACCGGGGGGCGTTCCGAAACGCCGATTTATTTGAATTTTTGCTCCGACTCAATTTGGGAAAATGTTAAGCCAACGGCGCTCGCAAAATTAAGACGTCAGCGTGATTGCTCTGAGGCGTTTAATTATGTAAATGTTATGAGCTAGCTGCGGTGGGTGGCGTAATTGTGCAAAAGATGCGGTCACGTATGAGGACACTCCGGCTTTGTGATTTCGTTCGCCGGCTTCAAGGAATGCCTCAGTTGAAAACGGTATGATGTATATCAATTGTTTCTGTAACAATTTCAATTACTGAATTTTAAAGCAATTTATTTTATGGTTTATTTGCAAATGATCACGGATTTGAAATATTTGTAAATGTATATATACAAGAACTACTAATAATTATATCTTCCCTGGGTGTTTTAAGAGTTGACAGAGGGAAAAAGCGTTATTATAGGGAGCGAGCGGCGCGTTTAGTTTGGCCCTTGAATCTACTAACTATTCGCTGTATAATTAATGTTTTTTTTATAAGATCGAGTGACAAACGAGCACACAGTCCACTTGATGGTAAGTGATTGCTGTGGCCCATAGACATCTACATTTATCTTCGTTTGCGAATCAAAACGCAGATGCGTTGTCACTCGTGAGGACTAAGATGGAATGCCTCTTTTCTAGTAAAAAGGGTCTCCGGTTCTCTACACTCACCATACAAAACACAGCAGTGTTAAACTGCTAAATTTGACGCTGGTATTCTGTGAGAGCGTGGTCCTTCCCCGGTCGAGCCGACCCATTTCTGCTACAACTATACTACTAATATAGCTGCAGCGTGGCTCTACCACGTAAATTAGTAACTGTGGTTGTACAAAATATTTAATTTACAATTAAATATTTTATACAACCGTCTTCAATATAAATTATTAAGAATAACTCAAAAAGTATTGACCAGACCTTCATCAAATTTATATGGGACCACATTTGAAGTACCAACTTTCAAATAAAAAAAAGAATCATCGAAATTGATTCACCCAGAAAAAAGTTATGAGGTAACATACATAAAAAAACATACAGTCGAATTGGGTCTTGTTTGAAGTCTGTAGGAAAGTAAACAAACAGCCTATATTTTACTCGCCTTTCTGGACTGGTGCGTGCCTTCTCTAATTACTGAGTGAGTTGGTTTTAGAAAAGCCGTAGTAGATCAGGTGATAAGCGCTCGGCTTAAGATTTCATACAAAGCTAGCTTCGGTTCTCGCCGGCGTCATTGCAATTGTCAGTTGTGTTACCATTACAGTTACATCCTATAACTTTACCGTCTATACCGTTACAGACTATCGACAGTCAAGTGCTGAAAATAGGTCTTACGATAGATTGCCTCATAGGAGTGATATTTGCCAGTTGCCATTGGCATACGCGTTGGCAACCGCAATTATAAATTTCATTCAATTGTTATTAGGTAGACGCTGCTATGGGAACTTTTGATAGACTGTCACTACTCAAGATATTCATTCAATTCAACATATAAAATACAGAGCTTCTTTAGTAATTCTCTTTCAGTCAACTACACCAGACGTTACACCTTTGGATCGCTGCTCCCCGTTGCTTAAATACTATACTACTATTTATTCTGTGTGGGTTGCTGATTGGTATTTGTAATATTTTTCATGGGAATTTTCCATAGTCGCCTCCAACGATACCCACGAGACGAAATGTGGTGATACACCGCCACCACGTAGAAGTCTAAGCGGATCCATCCCCGCGAAATTACATAAATCAAAATAAAACAACAGAGCCCTATTTTATAGTTTTGGCTATTGTTATTTCAATAAAAGTTTACACACAATATTAAAAAAACTCTAATAAAGAAAAACTAAAACTAAAAATTTAAATTTCCATACAGTCATATTATCCGTGGTAACGTGCCAATAACGCTGGCTTCAAAGGCTATATATCCCCAGCAGCGAGTACCAGTAACGAATAGAGTTCCTTTAGGAACTTCACCGCACGTGGAACCCACTCACTTAATTCAGCTGCCTCTGATGCCGGCTCTAAGCGGGGTACCCTTGAGATGAGATGTCGTATATTCAATTACCATTTGGGACATATTACAAAGAATTGTAAAGCAATTGTAGTCGGCTATCTATTATGTTTAAACATAACCAGAAATATTCGCTTAATTGTCGTGACTATAATAAATTACAATTGTCACGTTTATAAAGGAGACCACAGGTGATGTGACATCATTAACATTAAGTATAATATCTACAAGCTCACCCAACTCCATTAACATTTAATGCAAATAAATTAAACCGTGAATATTTCGCCAGGCAATTAAACTGAATTTAATAAATAAACTTTTAAAAAATATTGCCTTTTAGGAAAAACTAAACAACATTTTTGTTATTAATGGAATTTTCGTTGACAATTAAAATGATATTTAAATAATTTGAGTTAGTAAAGTTCGAAGAAAAATTCAACTACGAGTATTAATGTAGAGTAGAGACTAATACGAGGCGGCACTGAAAATTTCGGGAATCAAGGAAGTGACACAACATTACTATTTAAAAATAATATAGGAGTCATTTTATAAATTTTTGTAAAGATAATACTGCCTGTAATAACTAAAAGTTAATTTTAGATAAAGTTTTTGCGAATACTGAACTTTACATACTAGACTATTTCTAACACATTTACTCGTAGTTTTACCTCCTCCTCAACCTCAAGTATCAAGTTAATCAAACAAATACTTCATCCAGACTACCACAAAGCAAGAAATTAATAACCTGTAATTATCAACTCATCAGATAAGCACTCCATCTAGTGAGGGTTGCCATACACTGATCAAGAAACCATCATTGACCGAATTAATTTCTAAGCTTGATTTTCCGCAGTTTTTAAATTAGCGGGCAAAGCAAACTCTCAGTTTGATATGTAAAGTAATATGTATTACTTTCAGGTACAAACCTCCTCTGATTTCTGTAAGGGTTTTCTTACAAATATTAATAGGAAAATTGTCATAAGAAACCCAGAACATACCTAGATATTTTACAATACAATTTTTTTACTAATAGTGTGCCAAACGAGTACACAGTCCACCTGATGGTAAGTGAATACTGTGGCTCACAGATATCTACATTTATCCTCAATTAAGAATCAATGCGCAGATGCGTTGTCACCCCTGAGGACTAAGACAGAATGCCTCGTTTCCAGTAAAAAGGGTCTCCGGTTCTCTACACTCACAATACGAAAGACGGCAGCTGCTTTTGCTATTCGGGTATTCTATGAGAGCGTGGTCCATTCCCGATTAAGCCGATCCATTCGTGCTACAACCATAATATAGCTGCAGCTCTACCACGTACAACATTTACTTTTATATAAAATCAACTATAATAAAAAAAAACTAATTTAGAATAATGTTAAAGAAATTATTAAGGCCTGATATCTCAATCTTTCAATCTTTTTTTTAACGTTACCCCCACATTTTTCCTGTGTCGAGATATTCACAAATAGTGATTTTTTGTAGATACTTTCGTCACATATGGAAGTCCGTTGCAAATGCCATGGATTATCAGGAAGCTGCCAGTTGCGGACGTGTTGGCGCACTACACCAGACTTTCGAGTTGTGGCTTCCACCATCAAGAGGCAGTATCGTAAAGTAAGATGAAAACATAAACACATATTCAACTTAGTCCTTAATGCAGGGCCTGAGAAGCGAATCAAACGATTCAGTGATTTACATAGAGTTCGGCACACAAGCAAATATTTTTCGTATGCACACATTCGCTTTACTTCGCAGTAGGTTCCCTATTTAAATAAAACTAGTTTTTATGGATTTCCCGGGCTGCAGACTCACATCCGCTCCGAAAAGTCTGCAATCTGTGAACACGTACAGGATCGCCCCAATCACCAATTTCAATAGAGAAGATGGTTGGGTGCTATCTTCTGCTTCGGATATGCTATAATTAATAAAATTAAATCCCAACCCAGGCATACAACTGCAAGACTTCAAGATACTATAAGATCATACTGCGTAGATCGGACCAAACATTAAGAATTTTAATCTGGAATTAGCCGTGGTTAAACTCCCCCCCACCCATGACTAAGGGTGCTGTTAAGTACTCGAAACAACGGGCACAATAGATACTGTAGATAGAGAGCACGCTAATCGTGAACGCAGTACACCCAACTCTCTGCACTGAATCTTTACCCTTTGGCGTAAGCACGGACGTGTGCTTGTCGCAGCACACGCCCCGCCTCAATGTCCCCTCAGAAAAAGCGAACATTCTGACCCTAGCGAGCAACAATGATATATTATGTATCTTCATCTAGGGAATAAAATCTAGGATGGATAATGGTGCATTTGATTCACAGTAACTTTTTACATGTAGTATAGAGTAAAAAGTTACTGTAGTATAGAGTATGCCTAGCAATTTTCTTTCCGTTCTTGCAAGGCGAACTGGTGGAGATTGTTATAAATCATTAAATCCGCCCTTTGTAACCTTTAGCTAAAAGTGATTGCTATAAGGAATGAATCAATAAATAATTGCAAGTTATCATATGATCGCTGCCGAACAAAGTCGTCCCCTAAAACCTAATAGGATCATAATCCTTAAAAAAAGTAATAGATAAACTCTACACACACATACTATATGTCGTTATAAATCTTAAAGAAACCTTACTGACACCTTTCTAAGTCACCTCTTGAGACACAAGGGACGACATGAAGTTGTGGATTCTCTTAACACACTACCAAACGCGAGTAATCGTAAAAACTGAGTTTATACTTATAATTCTAAATAAGCTTGCAATGTAAATTTTATCAGGCACTACTAGTAGCTCAAGAGGAGCTCAACAATGGAATGTCGGTGCTAAGAGGAAGACCACGCGGAAAGAGGCGAAGTCGAGCGAAACCAGCGCCGAAAACTAGCTTGCTGTTCTTTGAAAAGTAAGTATTACAAACTACAGATACAGCCTACAGATGCGTTGTCACCGCTGAGGACAAAGATGGAATGCGGTAACTTGCGCTCTATACCTTTCAAACTGAAGCACAACAGTTCAAGCATTGCTATTTAAAATATCGGCTGAAATAGGTAAGAGAATGGTACCTACCCAGAGAGACTCGAGACAGACTAGGCAGAATACTATATCACATGTATGTAATGATAATGTTTATTCAATATATATCACATGTATGTAATTCTTATTGGAAGTTGTTTTTTACCTTTTATTTTTAATAGGATAAGGGTGAAAAGCGAGCACACAGTCTACCTGATGGTAAGTGGTTACTGTGGCACATAGACATCTACATCTATTCTCGTTTGGGAATTAAATGCAGATGCGTTGTCAGCCGTGATGACTAAGATGGAATGCATCTTATCCAGTAAAAAGGGTCTCCGGTTCTCTACACTCACCAAACGAAACACAGCAGCGTTTAGCTGCTATTTTACGCTGGTATTCTGTGAAAGCATGGTCCTTCCCATTCGTGCTACAACTGTACTATTGATATAGCTGTAGCATGGCTCTACCACGTAAAAAACCTACCACTGGTTCGGGAAGAAACGTCTATCTTGGGAAGAACCAGCAAGAAACCCAGTGGCACTATTTTTTCAGAAGAGGAGTCAGACAAAAGGCGTTGCTCAGACTAAGGAAATATAAGGCGATTGTTTAAACCCTTATTTTTAACTAATAAACTTACAACATACACATACATAACATAATACAATAAACGTAAATACAATTTTACGGCTCCATGGCGCCGTCAATTGCATATTCGAATCCCGCATGGAACAAGTATTTGTATGGCCTTACAAACAATCATTCCGGCTTCCAAAATAACAAAAAAGAACAAAAATAGAAAATTAATCTTCACTTTGTATCCAAACAATCAAAACCTTTATCATTAATTTAGTAACACGATTTTAAATTATAATTCTTAAGAAAATTTTAGATAAAAAACTGCAACGGCAATTTTATTTTTTATTTTAAGCCTCGTAACGTGACAACCAAACAAGCAGATATTTAGAAAGCTTTTTTTTCTTGTAGATCGCCTAGTTTCTGCGAACCAGACACAAGAATGGACTCTTCAGGAACATCAGGTCGTATTTGTAGAATTGGACGGACCTCGCGCTCCGGTTCCTGCGATTTGCTGTGTTGTGGACGTGGCCATGCCCTCATTCGTAGATCAAGCATCAAGCCTTGCAACTGCACATTCCATTGGTGTTGTAGAGTTGATTGTCAGAAGTGCCATGATGACAAGTGGGTGGCAATTTGCAAATAAGTGATACTACGTTATTTTTTTTAATGTGTTTTTGTTGTGTCAAAGAATCAAGTATATAGAGCTGCTCCTTTTGTGTTATCCTGTATTTTATTTAGTCAGATATATATATGCAGTCTCTGTGAATACGACTCAAAGATTTAACTGTTGATTTGAGGATCCACAATCACAAAACTAAAGTTGAAGTTTGAGCTCCACATCAAAACAATATTGGAACATAAAAAAATAAGTGTCTAATAAACTAGACAAATACAGTGAGAATGAACTTTTATAATGTACGTCGAAAGCATTCCAAAAACCTAACTATATTTTTGCGATATTTTCGTTGTATTATCTTTCTATTTTGAATATATAAGTATATAAGAAATGATAAATAAAATCAAACATGTGTTATATACAACTATGTATAAAATAACTGAAAACTTACCGAGACGGAAGCGTCGTGAAACACCAAACAAACACTGTGGGCTAGGGCATAGTTAGGTGTTAGCAAATTATTTTATTATTATTCCATTTAATGTAAAGTAAATAACCAATGACACTACGATACTTTTACTTTTTTGTAAATACATAACTTTTAATCATTCCAATGTAGATACAATATTTAATTTAAAGCATGTTTAGCTTTAAAAGGTCAGTTTAAAAAAATGTAATAACCTTAATATTAGCTGTATTATTTTAATTACTAGATAAAATTATGCTTTGTAAATATAAGTCAGGTAATGATTTTTTAAGAAAGAGAAAATAGCTTTAGACTTACTTGAACACCGCGCCGTGTAGGTAGTCCAAAAATAATATTGTTCTATCTCATTTATAACCTCTAAATATGAAGTTTATTTTTTTTTTACTCTAAACTGTTTTCATTATAGAATGAGCTTACACAAACATTGAAATTATGTAGCTAAATATTACCATAGATTTTACTATAGATTTAATAGACGAATTTGTGATGCACTTCATAAAAACAACAAATTTACTGTCCTTATCTTACCTTCGCAAAACTTAGGTCTTAATTACATGTAAACAATCAGTCAGTATTATTTTTATAATTTAATGATTTCTTGCAATTTTATAAATTTATTTATTGTAAATATGCAATCAACGTTTTACATTCCAAATTACCTATACGGTAATATGAATTAGTCTCCATTATTTATTTTTTGATTTCTTTCTACTGAGGAAATAAAATATGAATATGAAAAGATTACCTTTCTTTCTTTCTTTCACTTGTTATCTATAATAACGGCACGGGTATTTAGCAGCTCGTTTGTGCATGGCGCAGAAGCGTTTGGCTGTAGGTGCATGGATTTAAGTATGCGTAGTAAATAAAAAAAATTGACGAAAGCAAAAATTTGGCCGGCAAAAACGCCAAGAGGAGCGGCGTAATCAATCAAATTGTGAATCTCCGGCTACTTAGGGTACTGTATCAGTAATGGTGAGATTATACGAGTATTTGAATCTTAAATGGTTATTACACATTATGAATTGACAAACGAAATCACCAAAAATGAAGCCAATACAGATGGTATATTTAAAACCTACTGAAAAGCCAAATATTGAATCACACTGTAATATGCGGACATGCGGGTGATTTACGAAATGATGTTAATTCTAAATGTCAAATCTGGACATGTCAAATACCAGGCACGCTGGAAAAATATACATAATTACGAAAAAAATTTCATTACAAAACATAACAAAATAATCCTATTCATTCCTATTTAATTCATATTTTAGAAATTCCTCGTTTAGTAATGCGAGGAATGATTTATTTTTATTCTAAGAGTTGTAAGAATTAAAATTATAATTTAGATTATGTACTAAAATTTACTATATGATGATCATTAAAGAATTTTACAAAAATAAAAAGATCCTGCAATCACACAATAAATAATAGTACAAGAACTACAATGTCAAAGATCTTTCAAGTTTCTCTCAGAAGCGACAACTCAATGGGCTTTCGGTGCAATTATCCTGTTATTTTTGGTTAATTTGGCTTCTCATTCATTTTTTACTGGTCCGACGCGCTGTTGATACAATATTATACTTACGTGTTTAGACCATAAAATTAATTGCTTTTATTTACAGAACAGACTGTAATTTGATTCAAGTAGTTTCTACTTAACTAAAAATATAAACAAAATTTAAATTTCTCACCAATCCTATAGGAGAAATTGACCTTTCAACTACGCCACGTACACTAGTTCCGAAAAACAATTATATATTTTTAAATATAATAAATACTCTTTACGACAAACGTAAAATATCCAGACCACGAAAGCAAAAGCAAAGATGCAAAACGTCCTCTGGTATCTTCAATCCCCCTCCAAGTGAGAGGATTAAGGCCTCAATGGGACGAAAACATTTTCAAGAAAGGACTTTTAAGGGCTTATGAAGGAGACGAAGAATAATACTTAAATTTTACAAAAATTTAAGTATAAAGATGCCGAAATGCAATAAAGATAAAAGATAATACAAAAATAGATATTCATCGATTCTCTATATTGCTTAAAACATTTTTAAATTTATGATTACAAACCGTTACGTACTGTCCATTCAGTAACAGAACGATATATTTTATGTTAAAATACATGTCAGTTTTACGGTACATCTGATTTCTAAAGTGGCAATAGAATAGAATGTTTGCATTGTCCTGTCTACGTATTGATGTTCCGCCTGTTAGAGTTACACACGCATGATCGAGTAACTTGTGACGGATTGCTTAAATCCGGATTTTCTTTGAAAACCGTTCGATTACCGTAATTGAATATGTTCTTTTTAAAACCTTTCGTTTCGGTTCTCATTGATTACGGTTATGTATACTAACAAAATATTTAAGTAAGGATGTTCGAAAAAGAAGATTGTACTCGTATTTATCATACAACTTTTATAACCAAAAAACTTATTACGCACAAAAAATATTTGTCAAAAATTGTAATGAAGTGTAATAAAATTCATCGTTCTATGCTTTAGAGCGAGGCCACGCAATGGAATAGCGGTACGTTGCGACGCTTAACATTGCGCCGTTTTAAATATAAATCACAGTGACATACTACACGGTACGTTGCAACTTATGCACGGTGGCACAACGCATTCACAACGGGCAAGCGGGACACAGTTACCAAGCGGGGAGGGATGATGCGTTGCGACGCCGGAGCGGCAGAACAATGTTTGTTGTGTGCGCAAAAATTTGTCGAAAGCGTCTTCGCGTTGCAATGTTGTTGATAGCGGCGTTCTTGTAAAAGGCGTTATTTTAATCCACGTTGTTGTTAGTGACGTTGCTGTACATTATTATTATCATCATCATTACAGCCCTTCACAAGTCCACTGCTGAACATAGGCCTCCCCCAAGGAATGCCACAAAACACGGTCCCGAGCCACCTGCATCCATCGACTACATGTCTTACCAGCTCGTCACTCCATGTAGTGGGGGGATGCCCTACACTTCGTCCACCGGTACGAGGCCGTCACTCGAGAAACTTTTTTCGCCCTCGGTTGTCGGTTCTTCGAGCTATATGGCCGGCCCATTACCACTTCAGCTTACTAATTCGTTGGGCTATGTCAGTCACTCTGGTTCTACTGCGGATATCCTCATTTCTAAGTTTATCACGCAGAAAAACTCCGAGCATAGCCCTCTCCATAGCTGGCTGAGCAACCTTGAGCTTCCTCATCCGGCCAGCAGTGAAGGACCACGTCTCAGTTTCATAGGTGATCCACTGGCAATACGCACTGGTTGTATAGTCTCGTTTTCAAGTTTTTAGGTATACCTCAAAACTTGAAAACGTACGGGGCTTTGTTATAAGCAGCGTTGTTGCTAGCGGCGTTGTTACTAGCGGCGTTGTTGCTAGTGGCGTTGTTGCAAGCGGGGTTGTTATAAGCGTCGTTGACGTTTGCGGCGTTGTTGTAAGGGGCGTCGTTGTAAGAAGCGTTGTTATAAACGGCGTTATAATACACCCAATACGTCGAAATCATAGCGGTGCAGCGACGCAACGCATTAGCAACACCCGTGTGGCTTCAGTCTTAGTGGAAAAAGTTCGTTGGGTCATTCAGCGTAGCAGCTCGTGCAATATACATATATTTCAAGCTGTCTTCCGGACACTGCAGTACACGTCTGGCTCTGCGACTGTCAAACCGACGATGATAAAGGCAAATACAACGGGAGAGGCCCATGTCCCGCCAGTCCGACAAATTTTGCGGCCCCCGACAAATCTTACTAATTTATACTACTTGACGTTTTCTTTCTTTAGTGATTTTTATGAAGAAGACAGATTCACCGTTCGTATCCTTGCGTACTTGTACCTTTTCTTCTCAAGCTTGCGAAGCATTTTTGCGATCACAGTACTAGATGTCTCGCCCCATTAACTGCTGATCACCGTAGCCAATCTTATTATTTTACGTCAAGTGTAAATGATATAGTTGTAGCGCGATCTATCGGTAGCCATATGAGCCTTCTAGCATTCCCTATAGTCCCTTCTTACGACTCTCTACAGAGTAAGAAATGTAGAGACAAGGTCAGCACAGCATTAAATACTCCGACTAACCTTTAAAGCTGAATTAGTAGTATTTTACAACAGAAGGACTGCCAAGGCATTTTTTTTTATATTATATTAAGCCAGCGCCCACCTGAAGGTAAGTGGTTTCTTTTCTATATTTTATTCTATAGCCTAAGATGGTGAAGCGCACTGACTTAACAAAAGCCTATTCGCTCTTGCCTTGAAGACACCCACAAGGTAATCGGATGGAAAGACAGATGCTGGCAACTAATTCCACTCCTTTGCTGTATGCATGATGAACGTCGTAGCCAACCATTTGTTTTTGTTTTTTTTTTGTAGGATAAGGGTGGCAAACGAGCACACAGTCCACTTGATGGTAAGTGGATGCTGTGGCCCATAGACATCTACATCTATCTTCGATTACGAATCAAAATGCAGATGCGTTGTCATCTGAGAGGACTAAAATGGAATGCCTCGTTTCCAGTAAAAAAGGTATCCGGTTCTCTACACTCACCATACGAAACACAGTAGCGTTAAGCTGCTATTTTACGCTGGTATTCTGTGAGAGCGTGGTCCTTCCCCTGTCGAGCGGACCCATTCGAGCTACAACCATAATATAGCTGCAGCATGGCTCTACCACATAAAAAAACGACCACGTGGTTCGAATGCGTGGTAATTCAACAACGAAAGGGTGGAGACTGGCCGAACGTCTGGTAGTCCGATGGTGGAAGGGAGGGGGAGGAATTAAATTATGCAATTCCTGCGCACACTCTCCGAAATGCATCCTGTAGAAAACCGAAAGGCTGGCTACTTTGCGTCTGTGTTCGAGGCTGGTAAGATTGGTTTTAACCAAATTCGGGTCACCAATAAGCCTCTTAGCACGCCTTTCCAGTCTGTCTGGATAGATAGCACACTCTCACCTATTTTTACCGACATGCTGCAATGCCTGCACAACTGTATTCCTGTCTGAATGAACAGATTCCTGCCCAGGATACATACACAACTAGTACTATGGACTATGCTAGGCATGTACTATATATTAGAGGTCACGCACACTAAGTGGTGCTCTATTTATAGGATAGGTTATTTTATTGACTCTATGCTAGGCATGTACTATGTATTAAAAGTCACGCACACTAAGTGGTGCTCCATTTATAGAATAGGTTATTTCATAGACTCTATGCTAGGCATGTACTATGTATTAAAAGTCACGCACACTAAGTGGTGCTCCATTTATAGAATAGGTTATTTCATAGACTCTATGCTAGGCATGTACTATATATTAAAGGTCACGCACACTAAGTGGTGCTCTATTTATAGAATAGGTTATTTCAGAGACTCTATGCTAGGCATGTACTATATATTAGAGGTCACGCACACTATGTAGTGCTCCATTTATAGAATTGGTTATTTCATAGACTCTATGCTAAGCATGTTCTATGTATTAGAGGTCACGCACACTAAGTGATGCTCCATTTATAGAATAGATTATTTCATAGACTAAAACTCGTTGATAAAAATTACATGTATATTATGGGTTTATAAAACTTCAATGGAGACGACAGCAGCTTATTGTTTAAAGGTACGACTGCAAAACTAAAGACTTTGAATCTCCTAATGGTAAGTAGCTACCTGCAACCGGCTTCAAACTAAGTAGGCAACAGAGGGTTGTTGTCTGAGGATTAAAATAACCATGTAGTGGCGGTGTAAGAATATCCACTGCTCCCTATCGTCCCCTGGAGGTTACAAGAGGCGACAAAAGGAAACAAACTAGATGAACAGCAGCGTCTTCCTTATAACAACTAAATAGTATAAAATACTGCGGTTGAAAACCCGAGTGCCAAACGGGGCAACTTTGGCAACTATGGCAAAATTTCCCCTATGAGGCTATCTATGGGAAAGACCTATGTTCAACAGTAAACTTTTATAGGCTGTAATGGAATGGAATGAAGGATTATTATGGAATATCTCCCACTCTGCAATTATACTGGCTCTCTATACATTTCAGGCCGAAACACAGAAATGCAAGCACTGCTGCTTGGCGGTAGAGGTAGGTAAAAGTGTGGTACCTGCCAAGATAGACTCCTAAAAACAAAGGAAAAAAGTCCTACCAACTAAGTACAAAATCTTTTTAATCTAATTGTCAACTATCACATTATTCTTTTTATCATCATCTCTACTGCATTTTTTATAGGATAGGGTGAAAAACGAGCACACAGTCCACCTGATGGTAAGTGGTTACTGTGACCCATAGACATCTACATCTATCCTTAATAAAGACTCAAGATGCAGATACGTTGTCACCTCTGAGGACTAAGATGGAATGCCCCTTTGCCAGTAAAAAGGGTCTCCGGTTCTCTACACTCACCATACGAAATACAGCAGCGTTAAGGTGCTATTTTAAGCTGGTTTTCTGTGAGAACGTGGTCCTTCCCCGGTCGAGCCGACCCGTTCATGCTACAACTATACTACTAATATAGCTGCAGCATGGCTCTACCACGTAAATATGGCTGCAACAACGGGTTTTGACCTACCAGCGTATAATAGCAACATAATACTAGTGAGTTTTCAGAACCGGAGACCTTTTTTACTAGTGACGAGCCACTCCATCTTTGTCCTCAGGGAGAAAAACGCATTTTCATTCTAATTCCAATTTATAATATATGTAATATCTGTGGACTACAGCATCCACTTATTACCAGGTGGACTGTGTGCTCGTTTGTCAAAAATACGTCAAAATATATCCAAAACTTTCTTCTAAAGAAGTTACTAACAAAACATAAAGATTTGCAAGCTTGCTAAAAATTCCAATCCCTACCTAATCTCGTTCAATTAATCGTATCCAGATTTAAACGCCTGTTACCTAAAGGCAGGCGACAAGGTCGTAAGGTATTACAGTATAATTCAGTTATGAAGGATCAATGTTGCGGTCTTAATACGCCGAAGCCCTAGCACTTGTGAGGAGTCTCGTCACATCGGCCGCGGCTCTCACCTAGAACCGTTTAGTCGAACCGTAGCAGCACACGGTAAGTGATCGAATCTTTATTTATAAATAAATAAAAGATTTTAAATAATCTGTAGTTGATTGTAAGTCAATATTAATTTTGGGAATTCAAATTACGTGTACAATTATACCTCTCAGTTTCGTTATTTTCTGAAATGTGTAATTTTTTTTTCTTAAGAAAAAATTATTATATTTAATAAAAACACGCAAACAATACTAAATAACTTGTAGTAATGATATATAAATTATTAAATGCTATTAGTAATGACGACAGCAAATTTTAGAATAACAATGTCAACATACTCTTACCACATTTTGTTATTTTCGCAGTATCTTCGAGTTTGACAGGCATATGAAGATAAATTAAAAATGAGGGATGGTTTAAACATAACATCGCTTCCGAGTCCTATAGGAAGATATAAAATTATCAGCAAGCTCGGTTCTGGTATTTTTGGTGAAGTTTTCAAAGCAACCGACTCTCAGGCGGCTGACAAAGCTGTAGCTGCCAAAATACAAATCCACTATGAAGATGATGACATGCACCTACACGAAGAATATAAAATTTTAAGGGATTTCACAAACCATCCCAACGTAATCGACTTTTATGGCGTGTTCTGTGAGAAATCTGAATCGCTGAGAAAAATATGGTTTATTCTTGAAGTACGTATTTAAAGCAAATATTCTCATTTACCTTCTTAAATACGTATCTTGTGGTTCTATAACTCTATGTTGTTGTTTTCTAGTTATGTGAATATGGATCTGTCATCGATATTGTAAGAAAACTGAAAGCGACCGACAGAAAAATGTCCGAAGAACACATCGCTTACATCCTCAAATATACGATCAAGGTTAGTCCATATCCAACTGACTATAAACATGTCGTTCGTCACATACAAACCGAGATGGCTGTTTATAAAACAAAGGGCCTGCCAGTCCACCTTTCAACGGCTGAATCAATTGGTGGGTACTTTGAATGCATACTCAATTGTTCTCGTATCTGCGCCCGGGCGATTTCTTCTCATTGCGTGACGTCGGATAAAATATTGCCGGGCGAATGTCCACGTACGTTGAAATATTATCTAGGGCCATTACTTAAAATGTACGATTTATTCGATGTGATTCGCGACGAAACAGTCGAACTTGTCCGGGCGAATGTCGGAGAACGCCGGACAACACCATGACGGCCCCCCATCGCGGTGCATCGCTCAATTATCGTAAATAATGCTCGCGCACACAAGATATACGGACCTCTGGCGCAGTAGCCAACGATCACTGGGGCCTTATCCAAGCGATACAGAATCTCCCTTACACTCGACGTTATAAAGCCCTAATTCCTGATAACAAACTGATATTTTACGCTCCAAGGGTTTTAGATAAATTTCAATGCATATTATCTTTATGCAAACCACTTGACTCACAATGCGAATGGTCGAGTCTTCTCGTTTAGTACGTTTTCTATGGATATAAATAAAGTATAGATCCATGCTAAATCTCTTGTATTTCGATCAAGGTTTGAAATATGATGCAACTTTATTGAACTCAGAACTCGGATTATGCATAGCTTTATAAGAATAGCTTAGATTTATGAACATTACATATACTTGTAATAAGAGAACATGAATTAAAGCCGTGCTAAGCCAGAGCCCGATGAGCGCTCGTAGTAAGCAGCCCTATCAGTGCCATCACCACTGATTGGCACTGGTAAATTTAAATGCTGATTCAAGTTGTAAATCAGTATTTAAATTTACTTTTATCAGTTACAGAAAAAAGTATATGATTCCACCAACTTGTACACAGCAGCAGCGTTACTAATTCTCTCTCTTATGACCTTCTTAATAATGAAAGAAGCGAGTGCCCGGCAATGGGACGACTTCATTCTGTTCCTTTATATGTAAACTCATATAATAAATAAAAATAACAGCTCGTGCCTCGCTGCTGGACCTAGTTCCTATGAGAGTTTTAAGGTAAGGCAAGGTTGTATGGCCCGCCGCCCCAGTGCATATTGGCAGTTGGCACACTTCACATATTCTCGAAAATGCGATGATTTTCTTCAACTCAGTGTTGACATGGTAAATCAGAAATTAAATTGCAATCAATGTTGCAATGTTCACTTTAATTTCCGCTATGTAACATATATAATAGTGTATTTATTCCACTAGGAGGTTATAATTATTTCAAATCAGTTACTAGTATAGTTAAAATGGTTGATGTCTAATGATGTGAAACTGCCAGTTAAATTAATTGTAATTTAAGAATCTTATTATTGTAGAAAATATACTAAATATTTAAACGGTTCAATCAACACAAATAAATTGCAACCGATATTCATGCGTCAGATGCAGTGTGGACAGGCGAGCCGTGGCGCTTGATACCTCGATACGCATGCAAAGTAACCCCAATACATCTCAGGGGCGTGGGCCATTTGATTGACGCTGACGTCGCTATCGCAAGCCGTCGCAGCCAGACAGATCGTTCGTCAGGACGGTCTTTGATCACAGCCCATAAAACTAAAGTGTCCACAGTGATTGGTCAAGCCGTTTGTTGTTAAACAAAAATTTGCATTCGTATATGTTTTAAATGTATCATACAGATCTGATACGTTTTATTAGAGAACTCCAAAGTTGTAGAAATCGCTATTTCATTTAGTTATTGACTAAAACAATGACATTTATATTTATAACTACCTAATCGTCTGACGTAGGCTTAAGGAGACTTATGTGTCATATGATATTGTGTAGTGTATATATGACGTGTTTATAATGCTTCTATTCAATCTTGTTATGTTTAATTTGTCTGTGTTAGTAATAAAATACAATTGTGTAAGACTTTAATGTACCTACATTTATATTTTGCAACAAATTACATACACAGATTAAACGAATAAACAAACGGTTAATACAAAAGCGGACCTTAGCAAATAAATTTTTTAACATCTTTAATATAGTGGACTTCCGCAAAGTAACGCCTGATTCTATTAATTATTACCGTTATTAATTGCTAAATGTTGAAACTTATGAACAAGCACAAGCCTTATCTCATGCCCGAAAGAGCTATTAGAGCAAGGAAGAGCATTATTACCGGGCAGAATCCCCGTACACGCGTTTTGTTAATTTTCAAACATTCTCAGTGGTTAAAATTGCAAGTAATTCACTGGTGCATTTGCTCTCGTTCTAAATTTAGCAACCGCCTATCCCTTAAGCTACAACAAATTCTAACTAAATAAGTAAATTAATACAAACTACTCGTATGTAATATAATCGTATATATTATTACATCTGATTAAAATTAGTTTTTAAAATAAATCGAAATCTTTTAATTATGACGCAAGAACATATTTAAGATAATTTTATAATAACCAGCAGATAACTGACATTTCATTAAATAGATGCAACTCATACGTATGATTATTGCAAATTAATATAAAATGTTTCCTTTTAGGCTGTAGTTCACCTGCACGAAAACAAAATTATACATAGGAATATTAGATGCAGCAATATTTTAATTACCAAAGACGGTGAAGTAAAGTTGTCTGATTTTGGACTATCCTGTAAATTGAACGAAACTGTAGAGAAAGCTAAAACAAATATTGGATCGCCAAGTTGGATGGCTCCAGAAGCTGTAGTTATTAGCGACGAAGGTTATGATAACAGAATTGATGTCTGGGCTTTAGGTATAACAACAATTGAAATGGTCGACGGTAAAGGACCTTTTGAAGATATGCACCCTACTAGAGCTATGTTCCAAATTGTAAGAAATCCTCCACCTGGTTTAGCCAAGCCAGCAATGTCCTCCAATGACATTAATGATTTTATTACAGAGTAAGTATACGTATTATGAATAAAAATTATTATCATGTCTATATTATATATCACAATATAATATTATGTAATTTCCAAAACATTAATCCTTTTAACATAGAAAACATCTTGAATATTGCAGGTGTCTTGAGAAGAATCCAGAACATCGACCATATATGATGGAATTAGTAGAACATCCATTTATCCAATTAGTACCAGAAAACGACTACCACGTTTGTGTTTATTTTTTTACTTTAATCTCTAATTATTTGTACAGACATATATTTCATACAAAATTATGTTGCTTATTTCAGTTATCTACAGAGCTAAAAATGCTAGCAGCAGACCTTAGTAACGCTCCATTGGCCGAGAAAGTACCTGAAAGAATAATTAAAAACGGACTTTTAACTACAGAGGGAGTACGTGAACCAGAAACAATGCAAGTCGAAGATCTTGCAGCATTAGATAAGTTGACAGAAGACAATCTGTTATCGGAACTGTATACAAAATTAGCAAAAGGATCCTTTACTTCTTTTGTTGGAGATGTCCTATTAATTCTGAATCCTAACATGCACGCTGATATCTACAATGAAAATGCAAGTTTTACAATATTTACGTATTTTATGGGCGAATTTTATTATATAATGAATAAATGTTAGAACTTTATACCGAGTATGATTGGTATGCAAAACATAATAAATAATTTTTATTACCAAGCTCGAGAATCAACCCCCATCCTCAAATTGCGCTATAATCCCACAAAATTTCTTTGCTTTGACTCGTTGCAAATTGAACAAATGTCCCGTTGCCCAGTTTTTTGGTGTATATTACCAAGTGTGGTGAAACTAAGGTGATTGCGGAAGAGAGAATTTCTTATAATTACGCGAGAACGGGGAATAATCCATAATATTAGTGTTATTCAAAATTAACTTTGTATAACATTTAAAAAATATAATTATTTTCCTTGATTTTATTAACTAATTTAATATTATTGTTGTTGTTTTATTTATTTCAGTATCATAAAAAATATGAATGTAAGTCGAGATCAGATAACGAACCTCATATTTTCGCGGTTGCTGACAGTGCCTTTCAAGACGCTCTTCATCACAACGAACCTCAGCATATAGTATTTTCAGGGGAAAGCAAATCCGGAAAAACAACAACTATGATCCATGCCCTCTCCCATTTAACTTACTTAGGCGCGATGAAAAATAATACTGCTGAAAGGGTTCAAAAAGCAAATGATGTAATACAGGCCTGTATAAGCGCTGCAACGCCAGTAAATTCAAATTCTACGAGAGGTATTTTGCAAGTTCAAGTTACGTATGGCACTTCTGGAAAATTAAGTGGAGCTATATTCTGGCTTTATCAACTTGAGAAATGGCGCATCTCTTCTACTGACATGTAATTATAAATCTATATTTTAAAACATACATGTATAATCAAAACTGTTTTAAATAAGAGCTTGTAATAAAATTTATAAAATATTTATTAATCTATTAAAAATTTATTTTAGGTCTCATGCTAATTTTAACCTTCTTTATTATTTTTATGATGCTATGGAAGCTGAAAATAGATTAACAGAACTATGTTTAGAGAAATACAGAAAACATCGTTATTTGCGAATTTTAGAAGAAGCCCCTAGGGGAATGAAAGGTGTTCGTGAAACGCCATCAGAGAATGTAATGAAATATAAAGAATTCATTGACAATTTAAAAATTCTAGATTGGGAACAGGAGGACATAACATTCTTTGAAACTGTATTAGCCGCTATACTTGTACTTGGTAATGTAAGGTTCAAAGATAGTAAAAACGGTACCGCCGAAATTGAAAATCCCGAAGAAGCAAAAAAGGTTGCGAAACTGTTGTCGTTGGAAGAGGTGAAATTCCTTTGGGCTTTACTTAATTATTGTTTAATCGAAGGAGGAACGGCTATAAAAAAACGGCATTCTACTGATGAAGCAAGAGATGCTAGAGACACTTTGGCGAGTGCTTTGTACAAAAGATTAATAGACTGGATGATTAATTTAATAAATTCAAAGCTGTCTTTTATGCGATCTGTATTGTGAGTGATAATTTAATAGTAACAGTAGATATTAAAGATTACTAAAGAATTTGTTCTTATTATAAAATTTATTATTTGCAGCGGAGATAAATACTCGGTCAGTTTACTCGACATGTTTGGTTTCGAATGTTTTCACAGAAATCGTTTAGAACAACTCATTGTAAACACTACCAATGAACAAATACAATTTTTATACAATCAAAGACTGTTTGCTTGGGAAATGCAAGAAGAAGAACAAGAAGGAATTCCAGTGGTATCATTACATTTTTATGACAATAAGAGTTCTGTTGATCAACTTATGGCTAGACCATCAGGAATTTTCTACATTTTAGACGAAGCAAGTCGTCAAGGAAGCGGACAAGAATTCATAATGAGTATGCAGGAATTTTTTTATTCCCACAATAATGACAAATATTTTTAATTAAAATATTCTTTAATAAATTACTTATTACTAATTAAAAATTTAATATATATGTTTGATACTGTTAAATTTATCATTACTCACTAATTTTAAAACAGTTAATGAGACTGCCTCATACCTGTAATGAGAAAATTTAGTGACTCGGCAACCTTCAACAGGTAAAGTAACAGCTTTTAAAACACACGGAATGTCATACTTTTGTTTGAGGACAGTGTTTTATGACATTCTATGGAGAAGCCATGTTTTATAATAATAGAATTTAGTGATGATACTTATATAAAGATACTTAATATAAAAAAAATTATTCTAGAAGCAAAGCTCTCATATAAAAAAATTTAATGACAAATTTTGATTTCAGACGCAATACAAACTTCTAACAGAGGTCCCTACGTGAAACTTTCTGGAAATCATGAATTTAGTGTAGCACATTATACGGGAAAAGTGAACTACGATGCCAGAGAAATGGCCGACAAAAACAAAGATTTTCTTCCACCCGAAATGATTGAAACAATGAGAGCATCAGTTAATGCTACCCTTCAACAGTTATTCAAGAACAAATTTACAAAAACTGGTAACTTAACCATATCATCATGTCAGCCAACGCCATCTGCTAGTAGATCAAAACCTGAGAAAGAAATGGAAAACATTAAGGCGAGAGTAAGTTTTTCTTTTTAGGGTTCCGCTGTCAAATAAGAAATTATCTTAACTATGTTCTTTTGCTTTTATTTATAACTATACAAATTGTTTTTGATCGAATTGGATATATGTTCAATGTGAGTATGTTCGAAATAAATTTTGAGATAAGGAAATATTGGAAACATTATACGTATGACACGATATTATACTATTCCTATGTGTAACATTAAATACATACCTATTGCAAATTTCTGCCGCCAAACAGCATTACTTGCACTGCTGTGTTTCAGTCTCAATAGAGAGCCAGTATAATTAAAGGCTGTTAAATTTCATTTGATATTAGTGCTCAGAAGTGACGACGCATCTGTAGCCGCCCTTGTTTGAAGTTGGTAGTAGGTGTCCATAGGCTGTAGCCACTTGTCGTCAGGTCGAAATATCAAACATCAAAGTAACCTGCAATGCGCTGAACTTACTGAAATTATAACACTGATTTTGTAGCTTTGAAAAATTAGTAAATATTAATAGGTTCTTCCCGACTGCATTGTCGATCAGAGCGGCCACTCTCAACTTTCTGCGATAATCGGGTATTGTGGTGTACGAGTGTTTGCGTAAACACAGGTGCACTCTCTATTCTCTCACTCTCATTTAGTACGGTCTTTCACCAATCTGACAGGAAATCTACAAAGGATTGAAACTCTACCAACTTCCTGACTCGGGGTTATTAGTGAGAATTTCCGGACATAAAAGCCCAATAACTAACACTGGCCCGACCCTGGATTAGAACCCATGATCAGTAGTCGTATTTACAACCACTAGGCCATCGGGGCAGCAAAGAAATTATTAGAGCTAGATGGATTCTAACGATATCTTATATTTACGCGAATATACGAGTATTCATACGTGGTAGAGCCATGCTGCAGCTATATTAATAATATAATTGTAGCACGAATTTGTCGGCTCGACCGGGGAAGGACCACACTCTCACAGAAAACCAGCGTAAAATAGTAGCTTAATGCTGCTGTGTTTCGTATGGTGAGTGTAGCGAACCGGAAACCCTTTTACTGAAAAAGAGGCATTCTATTTTAGTCCTCACGGCTGACAACGCATCTGCATTTTAATTCGCAAACGAAGATAGATGTAGATGTCTATGGACCACAACAACCGCTTACCATCAGGTGGACTGTGTGCTCGTTTGTCACCCTTATTCTATAAAAGAAAAGAATATTGTACATTTTTACGTAGGTATTTCATCGCGTTTAATTTTAACTTATTAATTCCCCAAGTCTGGCAAAGTCTGCACTATGTCAACATATCCAAGATTATCCACCAGATTTGATAAACCAAAAATCCTCGCAAAAAAAATCCACCGATTCCTACCAAGGATGATTCACGAGGCTATTGAAATTAAAAAACATATAAATTTCAATAGAGAAGATGGTGACTGGGTGCTCCCTACTCAGGGAAACTCTTAAGTAGTTAACGATAGTATTATTAGTATGAGCATTACTATTATTCTAAGTGTATCAAAAAAAAAGATATATCTTGCTCTGTTAAAGAAAAGTATAAAAGTTGTCTTAATTTTTCATTAAAATATTTTGCTTATCCGATCTTACCAAGCTTTGAAAGTAGATGAATATTCTTGTTTTTGCCTTACGGATTGTCAGTCATAGCAGCAATGATAAGTAATGTAAGTAGTGTGAATTAGTAACGAAAAATTAATTAATTTTAACCTTCTTTCCGAGGCCTTATTGTCTGAGCCGTAGTAGCTCAGGGATAAAGCGCTCATTGTAAAATTCCCTACGCAAGACCCGGGTTCGATCCCAACTAGCACCAAATAAATTGTTAATTAAAATTTTCAGTGCTGATTGATATGCTTACACTGAAGAATGTGCTCAGCGGTGAAAGAAAACGTCGTGAGGAAACCTGCATGTCTGAGAAATTAAAAAAAATCCGAAAACATGTGTAGTCCACTATCATGCATTAAGGCAGCGCGGCCTTTAAAACTCTCTCAGAAATAACAGCAGACCTGTGGCCTATGGCCGGGACGTCCAGTCATCAGATCACACTGTAAAATTTCTTTCTTTTTTATTTCAGAAATTCAACACAATATCCAAAGGTCATTACTCACAAAGTCACAAAATGAGAACTGCAGCGGCGACATATAGAGCAACCAGTTTAGAGATCCTCAAACAACTTTCAATAGGGCCCGGCAGCGGTGGCACGCACTATGTTCGATGTGTGAGGGCGGACTTAACTGACAGCCCTCGAGGGTTTCAAGCTGAAGTAGTACGCCAGCAGCTACGAGCGCTCGCTATTCTGGACACTGCAAAGGCTCGCCAAAGAGGATTCTCTTGTCGTATACCTTTCGCCGAATTTATACGAAGGTAAACTCGCTAAGCTTACACCTACTTATATATTTAAACTAACTCAAAAAGCTATCTGGTGAGCAGATAGCTATTAGATTAGATTAGATTAGATGAGTGAAAAATAAGCCTCTCGACAAAGGGCTCATTTTCTGCTGTGAGGATGATTTATCAAGTCATCAGTCGACTCCGACATTTCATCCCGACTTTATAATCTAAGGATTCCCAAGCTTATGAAACTCGTGCGTTAAATTTAATATGTTTTTATAGGAGAGGGGGCAAACGAACATGCGGCTCACCTGATGGTAAGTAACTACCGCCGCCCATGAACAACTGCAACACTAGCGAAACCACGGAAATTGCAGATGCGTTGCTGGCCTTTTAAAAAAGAGTAGACTGTTTTCTTGAATGTAATATGTACTGTGTGCAGATAAAATGTGCTTTGAAGGAAGTTGCTCACCTTGCACACTTTTCAGATAATATTTAGTAAGTTTTGTTTTTTATAATATCACAGTGAGCTAACCTAACTGTCCGCCTGATTATAAATTGCTTTCACAGGGATCGATACTTGCCACCAACATCACACAATGATAGCCACAAATGCGTGGCCCTGAGAACTAAGACAGAATTTCCGCAACCTGTAATTATGTTAACCTGCAGATGTTGTTGGCCTTACACTTTTAATTAAATCTCAATTATATATACAACATGTAACAAAAACCCTGTGGTTCCTGTTAATTACGTTATGAGGATCAGTATTCAAACCTATAGAAATAACTTTTTTTTAAAACTCGAACATACTTTTTAATTTTTTTTTATTTAAAAAAATATTTTTTATTTTTATGTGGTTTTATTACCTCTTACTGACACTAGCCGATGCTAAAGCTAAGTAAAGCGGGGTCTTTGACAATCCTCTTACTCCCTAGACAATGCAGAGGAAATAAAACCACATACAATTGGCATACAATTATATTTTTTAAATAAAATATAAAAATAATTTTGTTCGAGTTTTTAAAAAAAAAATATTTCTATACGTTTGAATAGTGATCCTGATAACGTACTTAACGGGAACCGCAGGGTTTTTGTCACATATTGTATATATATATATATATATATCCAATCCATTTCATTGCAGTCTATAAAAGTCCACAACTGGACACGGATTGCTGGATGGTTTGCCCCATAGAAGTTACTTTGTCATAATTGCCACACCTGGCAGACGGCTTGGAAACCGCAATTTTTATAATTTTGTATTGTTATCAGGCAGATGCTGCTGCACATGTTCTGTTTCAGTTTCAATCTGTCGCCTCTTACGACAACCACGGGAAGATATAGGGTAGTGGATATTCTTACACCACCAAAACACGGTTACACAGTTACAAGGTCACGGCCTCTACACTATATCGGTATAAGTTAATATGATACGGTATTAGATATAACACTAGGTCCTTATACTAATAGATATATTATATTTCCATAATAAAATATTTCTTAAACACAGATACCGATTCCTGGCGTTCGATTTTGATGAAAATGTAGATGAAACAAAGGACAACTGCAGGCTGCTATTAATCCGTCTAAAAATGGAGGGTTGGGAATTAGGAAAAACAAAAGTATTCCTTAAGTATTACAATGAAGAATTTTTATCCAGGTAAACTTTGTTACATTATTAACTACATACATATAAAGAACATACTGCAAGTAAATAGAATAAAAATTAAGCTATTCTACGTTTTTTTTTTCTCTCAATTCTGGGCACAAGCCTACTCTCACTCCTGAGAGAGTTTTAGGGAAACCAAGAGTCCGCCGCGCTGCCCCAATACGTTTTGGCGAACTTCACACGCCTTCAATTTTTTTTCTTATTTGTCAGACATGCAGGTATTCCACACGATGTTTTTCTTTACCGCAGAGCACATGGTAAATCAGTACATAAAATTGCAATCAACAATTTCATTGGTGCCGGCGGGGATCGAACCCGGGTTGCTCGCGTAATGTGAAATTTACAGCGAGCGCTTAGCTCCAGAGTTACCACTTTTTTCTGTAGAATGTAACAATAAAATTTACTAGGATTAATTGAATTTTCGTGTTATTTGTGTCAACTAATATTAGCTTAGCTTCCTCATACTCAAGGCTAGCAGGCAGATTAAAAACTGAGAAACTTTAAAATAAAGCTAATTAATGTCGTATCAATGCCTTTTATAGGCGTTGAGCATATAAAAGATTCTGGTGAGTAGTACACCATAATAATAAGACATAGCCAGCTCGTCTTGGCACAAGCTAGAGTCATTTACCCGATTCTAGTAAATTTTAAACCAGAGACTGTACTGGTAATTTGCCGACCGACCCCGGCTTCACACGGATGGCCTTTAGTATTAAACAAGTAACTTGTAATAGGGTAAAGTGTGTGGTAGAGACCAACCATGAGAAAAACATTCACGCTCTAGTAGTCTAGAGTGTAGACATTTATTTGGGCCCTTTGCTTTGTCAATAGTAAAATAAACGCAGATATCAGTGACGCAAAAAGGAATAAACCTTGTTTATACTTACTACTTTTTTCATGTTGGTGTTTTAAGCTTTGATCGATTGCATGCTATTAACTGTGACTTTTGGTGGAATTGATTTCATACGTAAAAGTATTGACACTAAAGATTTTGGCATATTATACAAGGTTATTTTTCAAAGAGTATCCAAATATATTTAAGTTCAAATATATAAATAATTATACACAGTTATTTCAGTTTTTGAAAATACGAATAATGAAGGCTCTTTTATTTAAAAATTATTCCAAAATGAATGTGATTTATGGGCAACAACTAAGCACGCATTCTGAATTTAAAAGATAAAAAGGACAGAATATTTGAGATTGTTTTTAATATTTTTTTAACTCATTCTGAACCTTCTCTGTAAATTTAGGTGTATATTGCAGAATCACCTGTATAACTCAAATTTACCCAGAGTTGTATCCCAGTAGGTTGGATCCCATTTGCGTAACGTTATCCAAATGTCTGCAACTGCCAATAGTATTCCAGTAGGGCAAGCAAAAGTTACATTCATGAAACTGTTGCATTTAAGGATTATAAGTTTCATAAATTTAAATTATTTTTAATTGTGTTGTATTTAAAAATAATTTACTCGTTTTTTCATCAGATTGTATGAAACCCAGGTGAAGAAAATAATAAAAGTGCAATGTATGATGCGAGCATTCTTAGCTAGAAGGAAAACTAGCGAAAATAAGTCTAAAATCAATCACAGTAAGTAGCCAACCATTGTTTTTAGATATATTTGAATTTACCTAGAACATTTTTTTAAACAGAGTGACAAACGAGCTAACAGTACACCTGATGGTTAATTAAAGAAGGCCACAGATGTGTTTATCAAAATGAGCTGCCTCTCATCCTGTTATTGACACTTACCCTTCGAAACCGATCACAGCAGCGGTCGCTGCTGCTTCTTGGCTCTCTCCTTGACATCTAGTTGGGACTGGAGGCCTACCTATATTAAGACAATGTTAAAAAATAATGAAACACACCATATACTTATAAATGTTTTAAATTACAGTTAAAGAACTAAAGAAGCAACAATCTGCTAACGTGACTGAAGATGAAGCTGCGTTGCGGATTCAAAAGGGTTTGACTTTTACAATTTTATAAAAGTACCTTCTTTGTCAGCCTGTACAGTAGCAGTACAGTATGGGTCATTTCCCATAGTGGAAAAGTTTTCTTTAATCGCCACGCATAGCGATTTTCTAGGTGGTATAGGTGATAGGGATTTGTATAGGTGGATTGTCGTTCTTATAACCAAACCTCTTGTACTTTAGACACAGCTCCGCATCACTGGTCTGAATATTATACATTTGGTATGCATGACATAGCGCCATCTATCGGAGACCGTGAGAACTAGTTACGTCACCTATGAGACGATATGAAGTAAAATATTTTCTTATTAAATAAAAGTGAGAAACATACTTACAATCTATCTGCTGGTAAGCGGCTACTGCAACCCACGGTTACCTACAATTAACATCAAAGAATTTTTAACGTGGTAAAGCCACGATGCAGCTATATTATGGTTGTAGCATGAATTGGTCGGCGCAACCAGGGTAGGACCACACTCTCACAGAATACCAGCGTAAACTAGCAGCTTAATGCTGCTGTGTTTCGTATGATGAGCTTAGAGAACAGGCAATCCTTTTTACTGGAAACGAGGCATTCCATCTAAGTCCTCAAGGGTAATAACGCATCTGCATTTTGACTCTTTATCGAAGATAAATGTAGATGTCTATGAGCCACAGCATCCATTTACCATCAGGTGAACTGTGTGTTCGTTTGCCACCCTTATTTTTTAAAAAAAAAAAGAAAAATAATTCAAGGCAACAGATGCGTTATCACCTCATAGGACTAAGATGCATTACCTCTGAGCCAGTAATCACTATAATGACTCTCTACGCCATTTAGACTGAAACACAACAGTGTACGCACTACCACTTGGCAGTAGATATATGTAAGAGGGTGGAAATATGCAGTAGTATATGTGAGAACAACCTAGACTAATGATGTGGCAGAGAAGTTACGAGATTTTAGTCCGTAAACTATTTTAAGAGAAAAAATATTACGAGAATTTTTTTTTTTTACTATTATAAGCCAGTGCTTGACTACTATCTCACCCGATGGTAAGTGGTAATGCAGTCAAAGATGGTATTTTTTTTTTAATTTGGGTTATTCGTTTTGGGTTAGTTATTGGAAAAACAATATCGCACTATTTTAAGAAAAAAAAGTTACGAGGTTTTATTTGGTTACTCCTTAAACTCTTACGACGTTATCATACAAAAATCAATATTGTCCTATTCTAAGAAAAAACGTAAATTTTTGGTTTTTTTTTTTCAGAAATAGAAAATAATTAAATTACGCAAAAAGAACTTCATCCACACGTTTATCAAAAAAAAAATCAACTTTAAATAGGCTTAAGACAATTATTATAAAACTTAATACAAATTTTAGCGTATCGCGGTTACATGGTCCGCAAAGCATATGGTCCACTCGTAAGTAAGTCATCAGGAGAGATTGACGAGGAAACTGCATCATTCCTTAAAAGATACGCAATGAAATGGAAGAGTCGGTCAATATTCCAGGTTTTACTGCAATACAGGGCAATGCGTTATCAGGATTTGGTTAATTTCTCGCAGCAGGTATTATATCCTTAAAACATATTATTTACCTTTCCTACTACCCTCATTGAACAAACATAACATATATTATGTCCTATTTATGATGACCTCTTGTTCGATTACACTTATAGCGAAAGAGTCATCAATTGCTATTTATGTTGCAAAGTACGGTTACATACGTCCCACCGCTGTGTACAAGGCCTCCCCTCATTTCTGGGAGAAATTAAAGGTCTTGGTATCCTCTAACTTCTTTTTCTTAGACGAGTATAGTCTTACTAAAGAAAAAGCTTGTCTTGAACTTTCATAGTATGCGAACAAACTGAGCTTAATCCAAGCCGGCATCAATGAAATCTATTATTTTATATTTAAGTTCTGGTTTATTGTGCTCGTGAAGTATTGAGTTAGTAACTCCACTATCACTATCATTACAGCTCAACACTAGTCGATTGCTTAACATAGGCCCTCCCCAAAGATTGCTACAAAGTACTGAGCCATCTACATCCATCTCTACCTGCAGTATGAGGCTGCCAGGTGGACTGTACCCAGCTATTGGACGTATGTCTGAACTTGCTTTTACTAAACAACATGCGTTAGTAACTTCGTTTAAGTAAAACTGACATTCAAAATCTCATTCGAAGACCATTTTAACTCAAATGTAATAATGCAGTGAAATGAAACAATTTAACAAACGATAGATAAAATATTAAGTCGTGTGTAAATTGTATTCGGTCCTTTTTTATAAAGTAAGATTGATAAATGAGTACACATTCCACCTGATGGTAAGTAGATGCTTTAGCACATACCCACAGCATCTATCCTCGATTAAGAATCTAAGAGATGCTAGAGATGCTTTGTCACAAGATAACAATTAAGGTGTTTTTAATTCTAATCAATCAGCATACAAAAGGAACACAGCAGCATTACGCTTTATGTGACACTATCATTTAGGTAAATTAAATTATGAAAAAAAAAATTATTTACATTTCATTCGCTTAGCGTTACAGGAAGTTATATAGAATTTAACATTTAGAATCTTTGAATTGTTTAACCCATTTCCAGATTCACATATACAACCAGGCTGTGATCGAAGCTCTACTTAATACAAATGCATCAGTAGTGTTGGACAAAATTGACCCCAATGCAAAGGAATCAAATTTCCTCGGTTCCGTTCGGCCTACGGTATGGAAGTTGCCATTTAGGATCGATCAACTTGAGTTCTATGATACTTCTGCAATGTGCGATCCTAACGTGAAGAGCACGTACGTATACATTTAAAACAACGAAATGTTCTATGTTCCCCAATGTATGAACATTCCCTAGAACATTAAAATACATTGCATAGTGGTCCATCATATTTAACCCACCATATACTGACATAAATAGCGGTTATCGGTGGCAGTGGCAGTGGCAGGACTCTTTTATTTAGGAGCCCATTTGAAGAGTAACAGAGCCAGTAAAATTAAATGTGCCATTTCCATCGTAGCCCTCAGGAACGAAAACGACATCTGTAATATTCTATCAAGCTAGTTAACCTATCATAGCTGTCAGTAGACTGCAGAAGCCATTATTTGTCATCAGGTGGATTGTAAGGACGTCTGTCATACTAACATTATAAAAAAAATACAAACCGATATAATTAAACAGTCCTATATAACCTATTCATGTGTAATTGTGATCAATTTATCCCTTTACTTTAACTAAGTTTAAAATGTGGGTGAGTTCAAGGCAAAAGTGAATAGGTTTCTTTTTAAGTCAGTGCGCTTTAGCAGCTGCATACCACTTACCACCAGGTGGGAATAGTAAACTTACAAATAAAAAAAATACTTGTATAAATCCAAGCTATCTACACCATCTCACCCTTTAATTAAAGTACCAAACCTGCATGGCCTTGTGAAGTTTGTTACGCATATACCTAAATGAAATATCCGCTTATGTGACGTCTTTCGCTTAAATGAAAAAAAAAATACGCTAAATTACAACATGAATAAACTAACGATATGTTGATTTCTCATTATAGCGATACATTCGCGAGCCAAAACGATTCAGACCACGAGCCGTGGGACGAACCGTTGAAGCGTGGATATTCAACACAAACCGATCCTTACATGCTGTCGGCGAGCACTCAGACCCTCATAACCATGCCCTTCTGCAGAGATCCCATGCAGCCATTACCAAAGCTACCATCCGAGGACGCGTTCCCCGGCGGACCGTCCAGGGTAGCCCCGGACGCTTTCGTCGGGACAGGCAGTCGACCAGTTGTTTACAAGAAGAAATCAAATCAGTCACCCCAAGGTTACTACCAGCCGCCAACGCCCTGGGCCAGTCCACGCGACGAGACTGACATCTTAGAAAACAGCAGTTCGCCTATACGTAGGATGACCTACAGCCGAAGCATGCATACGTTCGACATGGACATTCAAGATCCGATACAGGAACTCCAAGCGCTGGCGAAATCCGCGAACGATTTGGACGACGACGACCCGCCATACAACTTTCAAGCTATGTTGAAGAAGACACCTAAGAACAGAGCATCTATGAAAAGACACAATGAATCAAATATATTGGAAAATAAGCAGGTAGCTCCTAAGTACATTATACCTACAGACAGAGCTGTTGGAGGTGTACCCCATTCTAGGTATGACATGTCTTTGAATACTTCAAAATATCCAGCGCCGAATTACATGGCCCCGGTTCCCCCGGGTAAAATGACTCCCGTAGCAGAAAACCGGCCAATGAAGGATTTCACAAGAGAAGACTCTAAGGAATATTATACGTCGGACTCGAACAAGGATGGTTCGGTTACTGATTTGCGTAATCAAAGCAACAAATCCGATGTGTCGCCTGCAACAGAAATAGCACCAGGAATCACATTTGAAGGAGACGTGGCGGATTTGTAAAAGAAAACTTTTATTTAGTGTAAAAAATATATTTAATCTCCATTGCATTGGATGGAAGTCCGCATACAATTCATTTGTATTATGGCGTATCCCTTACATTTTTGAAAACCATTTTAAAGCCACAAGTTACGTATTAATTAAGTCATCATAAGATTCCGTCACTATTAGTTTTCAGTATAGTTAAAAATATAAATTTCTCAATAGAGTTAATTATATTAAATACAAAACTAACCTTAAAGCGAAATGGCGTATAAATGTTTTACGAATGTACTTAAATATAGAAAAGGAATTCATAATGACGTAGAAAAATATCAATATTCTTTCTTCTTACACTAAAATCCCTTAATATAAATTGCTTTGGTAACTTATTATTACTTACATACGAGTGGTCGAAATACAATAGTTTATTATGTATTAGTATATGGTCCTCTGAGTTGTTACTATATCTATGTATATTTGTGCAATAAGAAAAAAATCAAGAACATTGTTGTTAATGATTGATGAATGATCAAAAGTAGTTTAACGCAACCGGTTAAAAATATGATATGTTTAAAAACGGTACGGTAAATACAAACTCAGACCTTATATCTATAGCCCCAAATATGTTCCTGCTGGATTTTAAGCCAGTATTTTTCAGTATAGCACACACAACACACACAAACTCACACACACATGGCAACACAACAAACTTAATGGAAGGCATATCACGCTAAATGCCACATCTGTCATGAAGAAAAATATTTTTTGGACACAAAAATTTTACTTTACAGTATGCCAGCTTTTATAAACTTTTCTAAAAAAAAAATTGAGTAAATTCAAATTTCGTTTAGTTGGATATTAGTTGCTTTACATACTTGTTTTTATTAGGTATGTATAAAATTAAAAAAAAATATCATGTCCGCAGTCTGTATCAAAAAGCAACAGAACCTTCAAATATACAACTTCTGAGAGCAATAACTGAAAAAATAAAAAGTAAAAAAGGTATAAGTATATGGACAAAAAGAGAGAGCAAAATATGACCACGGAAGCTAACCTTTTATCTTCACTAGATTTCATCTCACTGTATCTCTATACTAAATATTAATTGCTTAAAAATCCTCAGTAAGTAAAAATAAAATTTGCCGGCCCACTCCCGACAGAATCTAGTTTTGAATCAATCTAATAGTAGCTATCAGAACCGAAGTCTTCACCTGCCGGACATTAGATGGCGCTCGTGATGGTGTCTATAATGTGTATTTTTAATAATTTTACCCTATTTAAGGTAATAAAAATATCTAGGAAATGAATTTTTAATTTGTTGCTAATGATTACCAGATAAAAAATATCCGGTTGTGTGAGTAAGCTTTTAAAATCAAAGTCGAACGTCAGTTTGAATCGAAACCAAATCGATTTGGAAAACAATGTCGGGAGTGAGCCTGCTGACCATCGATAATTTATAAACTAGATACATTACATTCATAAATAAAATACAAAAGCTCTTTTCAATCTTTGTACAGATTGATATGTATCCATAAAATTACATTCATTAATCATACATATAGATACAAAATATATGCCTAGTCTTATATTAATCATTCGATTGTAATCATATATGTATTCTGTGTGCCTCGAGCAAATTTGTATGATAGCTTAAAATATTATGTAATTAAAATAGTGTTACACAAAATATGTTTCTTTTTTTATCTATATCACTCCCAAGTATTTCTGTTCATATCATTTAAGAATTTACGCCTCCGATAAATACTGTGAAATATCATTTTTAGTATACATATAATTTCTTATAAACTTATAATTTAATTTAATTTTTTTAAATTTTTAATTTTAATTTCTAATAAATCACATCCTAAAGTTATTGCCGAACATTCTTAGTACTAGCGTAAAAAAATATCAGCTTATATATTCTAATATCTTAGGCTCTATGAGTTCAGTCAATAAGGTAAGTGTAATATAATGTTGTGTTAGGGTTGCCAACTTTACTACAAGATAATTAAAAAATTACACTGAGCCTTTATCTTGTATTGTGGACACGTTGTAATACATAAATTTCACAAAGACAAATTCTTTCTTCACAATTTATTTACATAGTAAAACATCTCGAGCAATTATTTCTTAAAGTCTTTAATGCCCTATATAAGACACTAAGGACGTGTAAATTTTATTTGGATACTAGTTGATCCCCGCGACTTCGCCCGCGTGGAGTTATTTTTCGAGGAACCCTAAAATAAAAGCAGCCTAAAATAAAAGTTACTCCTTATAACATCAGCTATCTGCCAGTGTGTATAAATATTGACATTAATATTTATACGATACTAACGTCACTCAATTGTCTTGCCTTCCTGGAACCCCTCCACTAACACTTTAACTTTATGGTATGGTATTAAAGTTCAAATTGACTATTATTACGAATATTTTGTATGGGAATATAGAAAAATATTGTTTTTAGACTTTTTCAGGCAATGTTTTAAATGTTTCTCTCCGTAGGAACCATCTTCGTACTTCAAGGAATATTATAAAAAAGATTTAGCGAAATCGATTCAACTGCTCTCGAGATTTGCGCTTAGCAACACATTCAGCGATTCATTTTTATATTATAGAATTGTCCAAATATTTGGCAGTGCCAAGTCTTCTGTTATTTACAGTGAAATTAAATCCAAGAAATTTGATTAAAGAATTAAGAAGTTAAAATTTAAATTTAATTTCATATACATTGTTTTTATTGATGTACTATATTCTTAAGTAACTGGACTCCACAATACTATATTTGATTTAAATAAGTTGACAACCCTTATATAAAATAGGTCCACGTAACAAAAAGAACACCATATTTAACAATGCATCTTTAGTATTATTTTATATGCCGTCTTTCACTGATTTATTAACAATTCCTTCAGAAATAATGTTTAAAAGAAAACTTGGAATAGAGCTATAGTTATTCTATTTCACGATGAAGTTTTGACTTTGGTTGTTGTTAGCCGTGCACATACACATTGTGTTAGTGTGCGTAGGCCTCGGGAGCGCTACTCCCGAGCGCTCGCAGCCTACGCACACTAACACAATGTGTATGTGCACGGCTAACAACAACCAAAGTCAAAGCTTCATCGTAAAATAGAACAACTATATTATTATCTATTTAACTATACAACATGTAACAAAAACCGCATGGTTCCCGTTAAGTGCGTTATCAGAGTCATTATTCAAACATATAGAAAAAGTAACTTTACTTCAAAAAACTCAACCATAACGAATTAAATTAAATTTAAATGACGTTTAATATACATAATGTATGTGGTTTTATTACGTTGAAATTGGTTTTTCTGTAAATTTAGGTGTTAGTTTTCCTACATGAGTAATAAACTATATAATAGTTTCGAATATATAATATTACATAACAAAACAGTGATATATCGCACATAAAATATTACAATTCCTTTAGTAAATTCGGTAAAATAATTATTATGTTTTTTTTTTTAATAATTATTATTATGTTAATTATTATGTATTTTACAATTCGACGTCGAGCTGAGATCAATACAACACTTTATACTAGTAGGGTAATGATAAAACTTAGTAAAGCCATATTAAACCTAAATGAACATTATAAAAATACACAAAAAGCTACAATAATATCATTAAATATAATAAATTTGTAAAATAATTACATATTACTGACCAAACTTAAGCAAATAACTAATGCCCAAACTGACCAATGTACCTGACCTGTCGATTTGAATAAAATGTCTGAAGTTAACCCCTACTTATAACTACAGAAGACAGTTAGTCAGTAAAAGTCGAAACTACTGTTTAATTAATTAATAAAAAAGAACAGAAATCTCAATATGAGATAAATCAAAGTGTCAAGTAAAAGCAACAATAAATAAAGGAATATTCAAATTTACCATTATTACAAAGCATTATTCGTACTATTTTCTAAAAAAAAAATATGATTATCTTTGATTCAATATACACTTTTGCAAAAATTGGGTACCAAAGTTACCTTTTGACTCTTTTGCATGAAATATATTGATGTTATGAAATGTAATAAAAATTATATTACTTGCTTTAGAATGGCAAAAATGGTAAGTACCCTGTAAGAAATCTCTACGTAAGCAAATATAAAGGCATATTTTTGTGCAAGAATATTCAAAGATATGAAGTTGAACAGTTATCTAAATTTAAAAAGTTATATTTAACATGAGCGAAAACATCATCATTTTGCACGTGATTGTGTAGAGGCAAGGAGTACCTTTTCAATTTAAATAATTTGCCGTAAATTGTAGTAAACTGAAAGTGGACTTTGTGTACTATTGTTGCTAATGGACCTAAATTGATTAGAGTATCTTCTCAAAATAAGTATTTTTTATGGATTTAACGTGTATGGTGCGACAGCCGAGATATTGCGTTCCTGACCTGAAGGTTGACACCTGATAGTCAGGAATGATTAAAACAGACCCAAGAACTTTTTTCTACGTTTTTATAAGTTTAAATACTCGTTTCCCTGGCGTTAAGTTACTTATATTTAATAATAAGGCAATTTTTAAGTGTTACTAGCGTAAAGAAAATAAAATAGTATAAATAATTAATTAAAAACAAAAATACTAAAATATACAAATATACAAATATTAACCAGATATAAGCTATGCAAAAATTTTTATACCAAATTCATGCCACACCTTACTATTGATTATTTAAAAAACTTTCCTGTGTTGCAAAAATGTTTCATGATATACTTTTATTTTGGTGGTACATTTTTGATAGAAAAGAAGTAAGGTGACTTTGTCCATAAGTATATTGAATTTGTCATAAGTAATTTTACAGTTCTTTATCGTATTATACAGGGTTATTTTTCAAAGAGTAGCCAAATTTTAAACATAAGTTCAAATAAATAAATAATTATATACCGTTATTGGTAGCGATCACCGAATGGTTAGAGGCACACTGAACCTAAACGTTAAGTTGGAGAGGTCTCGTCTAATGAAGTCAACGCTCCGTCCCCCTCGTGC